TGCTGAAAATACATACAGGTGACAAATTAAAGGAGAAAGAACACATTTTGTAACATGCTGTGAATTTGTGGGGTCACCCACTGTGACCTTCACAGTCAGAAGGTCCTGCACTGTTGGTTTACTCATTTCATTAGTAAAAGTAGAGAATATCACCAGCCTTATACTGTATTTTAGATGTTCATTATGTCAGGACTGAGCCCATATATCAACCCGTATATCCACCTTAAGTTTTGAGTGAAAAACTTTTCCTTTTCTTTTTCTCCACAGGACTCAACATACACTCAGCCTCTCTCTATTCCAATGGCTGGACTGGCTCTGAAAACCAGAGTATTTGCTGCTGTGAAAGCCACAAACTTAGACAAACGGTAAAAGATAACATCTGATCATTCACTATTGAACACTGATTTCCCCCTAGTTTTCAGATGTCATACATCTTTGCAGAAACATTGCTCATGAAGCAAACATTTTGACATCACAGCAACAACAGCATCAGTGAAGCAGAGATGTTTTGGGCAAGCACAGCATCGTTCCCACTGTTATTTTTACAGGTTTTAGTCCTTTTTTCTATGCTTTGCCTACATTCATTATGCCATTATGTTGTTATTCTACGCGAGGGCGCCAGTCTGCAGCAGAGAAAGCCTGATCTGTGCTTTCTCATGTGCAGTTAGATCTCTATCCACCATCCTAGCTCACAGTTTTGTTCCTCTGCAGGTGGAATATCTTGATGGACTACTGTTACACAACCCCCTCAGGGAATCCTAATGATGAACTCCGCTATGACCTTTTCTTTGGGTAATCTTGCTTTTTGCCCCCACAACATGATGATTTGGCAAACCACAAAAGGGAGTCATTACCTATTCAGCCTCTGCAAAAGGCCTAGTCTCATGAATGCTACTTTTTCATTTCAGCGAGTGCTTAAACATACACTAGACATCAAATCTGTCATTTTCATTGTGTGTATGTACGGTGCATATGTTTGTGTATGTGTGCTCTTTTGACACAGTTGCTATAAAGACCCACAGACAGCAGTTTTGGAGAATGGGAAGAGTCAGATGGGGCGTTTTTCCTTCGAGGTTTTTCGTTTTGTTAAACACAGACACCAGAAGATGTCGACTGTGTTTTTGCACTGCGTCACCAAGCTTTGCCGGGCAGACGACTGCATCCTGCTCATGCCAGTAAGCGTAAAAATCAGGAATCTCAGATTTTGGCTTCCTACTGACCTCCGTGAGCGTTGAACTCTGATGATGTGATTGGCAGATCTGTGGGCGAAGGCGCAGGAGGGATGGAGAGGAGAGCCTTGCCTCCCCACCAGCGGCATCTGGGAATGCCATCATCACTGCTGGGCCAATCATCACCAGGGGTGGTATGAACAATAAAGTGACTCATAAAAGAACACTCTGACATTTTGGGAGGTATGCTTACTTACTTTCTTGCAGAGAGATAGATGAGAAGATTGATACCATTCATGTCGGTTTGTTAAATATGAAGTTACCACCAGCGGCCATTTAGCTTTGCTTAGCATAAAGACTGGAAAAGCGGCCAGCAATAAATAAATAAAGAAATAATAGCCTTTGTGTTAAGGGTTTTTTTTGTGGAGTTATCTCTATATCTGGTGGGCACAGGGACTTTCTGAAGTCATACAAATATCACACAAGTTGTCATATAATCTTGTACAAACCCAGCTTGTCCTTTTTTCACTTTAGTTTCTGTAGAGATGAAACACAATAACTATAATGTGATAATTAGTGATCTTTAGAGATGCTGGTAGGAAGATTTTATTGCCTTTGAAGCCAGGCTGCTTGTTTCCCCTCGACTCCAGTTTTAATGCCACGCTGCATCTTCATATTTAATAAACAAATATGAGAGCAGTATCTTGTCTTATAAGTGTATTCCCCAAAATGTCCAACCATTCCTTCAAATGTAGATAGATGGATCAGTACAGCCACAGAGTCATTAAAGACTAAAGTATCTCGCTCTGCTCTCTAATGAACACTGTTAAAATCATTTTCCAGATGAAACTCCCGTGGACAACTCCAAACTTGGTAAGCTCTCTTACATAACAGTAAGAAAGGTGAAAGGGTTTTTAAAAAATGCCTGTGATATGTTAAAGAAATAGAGATGGAAGATTTAAGTTAACAACACAAAATTGGTCTTTCTGCAACATACACAAGAAAAATAAAGAAAGAAAGACAAAGGTGTTCATATTAAATCCACATGAGAGAACATGTCTGATTTAAATTTCATTATTTGTCTTTCCACCTACCAGCATCTGGTGACCCCTCACAGCCAGTGAAACCAGTGATCAGTGGTCTGATCTCAAGCGTGGTTATCCTGGGCGGGGTCAGTGTGGGCTTCATCCTGCTGTCGCTTCACCTTCGGCAGAGGTCCCGCCTCCCAACGACCACAGCCTCGGATGTTCAGAACCCCAGCTTTAAGTGACTAGACATCTGTGTAACATCTTTGAGCAGGACTTTCCAACACAGCCTGTGATTTACAGTGTAATACTAATCAGTTCCTACTGGCTCTTAATTGCTGATACAGTAGAGGAACAAGGTAGTAGCATAAGGTAAGATATACTTCACTGTTCTTGAGGGTAAATTTGTGGGCAAGCACTGCTCAAAAAGTACATGCAATACAGGTACACACAGTAGTAACCATATGTATACTTGACGGACAACATGTACACATGTGTGATTGTGTCCTGAGTACATAGAGTACACAAGTGGCAGAGAAAATTAAACCAATGAAGATGAAAACCATTTATATACATAAATTAAATTCGATATCATAATTAAATAAAGGGGTAAAGGATGCATTTCAGTCCATACTGAAGAATGAAAGCAATGAAAAGGTAAAAAACCAGCTATGCCTTATTAAATCAGAAATCCACATTATATAAAACCAGTTAAATAGCACTGCACTCAATAGTAACAGCTGGGCATTTTGGAGAAAGGAGAAATAAAATATATTCTTGGAAACAAAGCTGAGGACAACTGGTTTGGAAGTTTGGACAATGTGGTATTAACAACCCTGTTCTTGTGACTAAGATAATACAAATATAATTATGAGGTTTCTTATCTATCAGATGTAAGATTAGCCATTTTTTGGTCCATGTGCATTCATAACAGAAGCCTTTGATAAAGGTGTTTACTGCTCTATTGCTACTGCAGTTACAGTGCTCAGTGTTTGCTAGGAGCACATTTTTCAAAAGGACTAAAAGTAATTGGAGCTATTTGTATTTTCTGCTTTGCTTCACAATAATGGTTGTTAATAAGTGAAACTACAAATTACATCAAAAGAATAAGATACGTGGACTGCAGTGGTTCCTTACCTGTTTATTAAAAACATAGATATTGCCACCATTTTTCCCAAACTTTAGTTTTGTTTCTAGTACTGTACCTTGTGCTTGTAGGTACCTGGTATGTATAATAATGTTTAAAGAATATTTTATTTCTCCTTTGTTCTACAATGTCCACTTGTTATTACGCTGTTCCTCGTACTCTTGGTTTTCCACTGCATCTGCTTTTACTAAGTATCAGTAGGAACTCGTCAGTATTTCATTGGTAAAATCAAAAATTGTTGCTGAGTCTTAATTACAGGCCTTTCAAAAAATATGTTCAGTGTATATAGTCAAAAAGTGAACAACTGTGAGTAAAAATGTGAACACTTCAGTTAAAGGGTCCTCATCAGCACAGCACAAGACAAGCTCTTTGTTTTGTTGGTGTGCAGGCACCTTTTTACTTACAGTATGTGGAACACAACATTTCATTGGCGCCTGATTCTTAGAGTGAACTCACAGTGTAAATCCTGGGCTGTTTTGTCAAGGGCTACATGCCTATCGCCACGTGCAGAATGTTGGGTACAAACACTGGTGCATGTGTCCTTTCCTCTACACACATTATTAAATTTTTATGACTTTATTTTAAGTGTTGTCTACTTATTGCCTTCAATACCTCATAAATTTTTGTCATGTATTGTCATCTGGTGCTTGGTTAGTAACAGACAACAACATTTGTGTTTAGTTTTTATATTTTTATGGCAAGTTGGTAAAAAAAGGAAGAAAACTTAACAGGAAGCCAAAGTATAAACCAGCATCATGGAATATGTGCATTGTCCTTTTTTACCTTCATAGCATTATAACCCTGTCCAAAGAAAAATCGATAATAAACATCCTGGAGTGTTTTGAAATAAAGAAAGTGCATGTATTATTGTTGTATGTTTTATTCACTTTCAAGCTTTATTAAATATGTTTGGGATGCAGAACATGTGCAGCTATATATTTGTCTTTAAAACATTTTTGTAAAACTTGTATAATTTATAATGCAATATGTCACAGGTGTGTAATCAAACATTTAATTTAATCCTCAGCAAGAAAGCAAAGACGCACATTTGCCATGATAATTCTATCAAATCAAATGTATTTATAGAGCACATTTAAAAACAATTAACTATACTGTAGACCTTAAAAACCTTCTTGACAGATTGGAAAAGTGGGTGGGATTTTTAGTCCTGGCTCCCATCGTACTTTGAAGGCAGGGGTTATGTTGTTTCCATAGGTGATTATAAATCTGAGCTGAGCACACCATGACATGCCGAGTCCCTCAAGGTTCATTTCTTGGACCACTGCTATTCAATCTGTACATGCTCCCTCTGGGTCAGATCATACGTGACAATAATGCTGCCTATACATGTCAATCCATGTGGGGCCTTATAAAATAAATAACAGAACCTTGGAAGTCTTGCTGCAGCATTCTGCACCAACTGCAAACAAAACATAGCAGACTGGCTGAGTTGAAAGAAACAGCCTTTCAGCACTGAACTTATCTGTTTATCAAATTTTAATACTGAATCAAAACTGACATCACGATTTCTGGCATGGGCATGAAGATTAGATGGCATGGACCCCAAGTGACTAATTATACTCCCAGTAGTGTTTGGGGGCCAAAAGCAATCACTGTCTTATTATTGTTCAACTGAAGACAATTACTTAGCTTGCCATTGAGCATTTTACATCCCTGAAGGCAGTCAAGGATGGACTTAAATGAATCAGTATTCAAGGGGAGCTGTATCATCGGCATAACAATAAGAAGTTGAGATGTCTGAAAATAGAGCATATACAAGGCAAATAAAAGTGGGCCCAAAATAAAACCTTAAGGCACACCACAGGCAACTGGGGGAGATGAGGAGAGGGAGCTCTCAGTCTCAACAGAGAAAGTCTCATCTCTAACACAGGAAGTAAACCAGTCAATGGCAGTGACCTGGGTGCCAACCCGCTGTTTATGATGGTTTAAAAATATGCAGTGATCAAAAGCATCAAAAGCAGCACTAAAATAATTAAAATAGCACATTTACCACTTTTTAAGAACAGCAGAAGGTCAACTTGTACTATGACAAGCCTTAAAACGTGACTAAAATTTCTCGATAATGATGTTCAAGAAATGACAGGAGCTGTGTGTAGACTATTTTACTTTGAAAGCTTGGAGATGGAAAGAAAGTTATTTATTTCAAATATGTCAAGGTTGGGCTTTTTAATAAGACTTTGTACTGTTGCATGTTTAAAGAAGATGGGACCACTCCGTTTGATAAACTATATATAATAAAGCAACTCACAGGACCAACAGTTTCCAATACTTTCTTTAAAAATGTGTAGGAATAATGTCCGGGGGCAGATGGTCAGCTTTGTGTGTGAGATTATTTCCTAAAGGAAATACAGGCTGAAACTCATTTAGGATGGCAGAACAAGGACACATCACAGAGGGATCATAGACAGGGGTGTAATATTGGAACATATCTTAACATTTTTTCTTGAGAATAACTTCAGGAGGTGGCACAGGACAAACAGCAGCAACAGAACTGAAGACTGAATTTATTGTGTGAAAGAGCACTTTAGGACAATGGCAATGTTTTGCATAAATACTGGAAAAACATCTAGCGCTTGCTGCTTTGACAGACTGCTGATAATTTGTAAGACAACCTTTAAATATTTCATATGAAACTTATTTTTTCCATGCACTTAAGTAACCAGGTTACAATTGGCTTTCTCAAGTAAGCTGATTTCTTAACTGTCATGTAAATGGAAAACCTGGTTTCTGTAAACAGGGTAGGGGATTAGGGAAACCTAATTTCCCCAGGTAGATTTCTCCCAGACAATGATGTTTTCTTTGCCATGTATACATGTAACCAGGTTTCTAATCAGCTTTCTACAAGAGTGCATGTGCAAAAGACAAGCTCCGAGGTGGCTCATGTGCATGTGACTGGAGAAAAACAGAAAGCTGTCACTGGCATAAACAGAAGGCAAGCAGCAGCAACAGCAAAAGCAGCTTCTATTTGCCATTATTAATTTCACAACTAATGGGGCAGATAATGTCATGGTTTGTAGGTGAAACATCGCTAAAGAAACCAAAGTATGAGCTTGATCAACCGGGTCCATCTTTGTTTACGGGAGGATGCAGTTGCATAATGACATCAGGCTTTCTAGTTGCGGCCGCACCTGAACAACGTCTTTCTGCTTCAGTGGGATGGTGGGAGTAGGGGGTCAGATTACCTAGGGGCTCATGTATACTGTGGTTTTTGAGTAACCTGATTACGGCTGTGCATGTAAACGCGGTCAGTGTTCAGCCATTGTTCAGTCTTTCTACATAGTCGCGCTCTAAGTGCACGGTGTTGTTATTCAGCCAGTGCTGGGTTTTAGCTTTCACTTTTCTGATTTTTAGAGGGGCAACACAGTCCAAATGGTCTCAGCCATCTAAATTAAAGTTGGAGATCAACTGACTGACTTCGGCCTCAGTACTGGTAGATATAGGTGTCTTGTCTGAGAATTTACAGGACACAGAAGGGCTTGTAGAGAGGTAGTAAGAGGCAGGTCAATCAGGAATAGGTGTAGTCTGAAACATGGATATGAAACAGTAAAATAAATCAAGAGCAGCTGAAAAGACACCCACTTACTTGCCTGTATTGTATGAGAGCTTCAAAGGTTTGAAGATATGTTTGAAAGTTGCAACATAAGTGGTCCTTGAATTGAGATTGTTTCATCAGCTGCTGTTTCCAGTGTCAAAAATGAACTGTCAGACTCACAGATCAAGATCTGAGTTAAAACAATGGATCTGCAAAAGTGGCAGAAAATGGTATAATCAACCTATCACTGCTGTTGCTGATGAGTGAAAGCCACAAGTCTCCAAATGTGGTGGTTTTGGATTTTTCAGATAAATTGAATGATTAGTTGTTAGTTAGTTAGTTTTTTATTTTTGGAGAAAAGCCACCAGGTTGTTAAATCAATTAAACCATTTGAAATCAGATTATATAACACTATATAACATTTAACTATATAATTTTAGAATTTTATACTTGTGTTTGTATGTGCAACCTGGCTTTAGTGAGGCTTTTCTATCTACCATCTCCTAATGGCTGACTAATGAGAGATATTGTGAGCTGTGGATAAT